AGAATGAGTGGCTTTTGTTGTGCTTTACAAAAGTTGAAGTTCCTTGTATGACAGACAAACCAGTTCTTTCAGTATTGTTGCAGATAAAAATAATTTCTCCATTGAACTTAATACAAAAAAGCTCTTAATGCCTCATTTGTGGCTGTTACCAAAGTTTCTCAGCATAATTTGTACTCTGGATGTATGGTTCCAAACGTTATCATCAGGTAATAATGTTTACTTTTTAGGAAGCTACATGTTTTGAAGAACCGTGTAATTGAGGAATAACTCCTTTGTCTATTATAGGGTTATTTAGGAAAAATTTTCGGGTGCTTATTTTTGTATTTTATAGAATTCTGTTATGTTTATCATTTCCTTGCTCACATGTGCATTCATATCTTTTTAAGCTACGGAAAGTGATAATGATTTTAGATTGAAAGCAAGATCGAGCACTTGAGTTGAAATTATGTCAAGAATATTGTCTGTGCTTGCTCCTTTAAACAGCAACTAACTATCCCATAGTTACAATAAACATCGTTCAGATCTACGTATCAATTTTGCAGTTCTATTTGGTCCATCACTACTATCTATCAAAATTCTTCTGGAATCCTTTCCACCACTTGATGCCATGTTATTACTCCCTTCCTTGTGAAATAAAAAGCCAGAGTAGTTCTCAACTGGGAATTCTGCTCTTGTTTCTTAAATTTTTTGACTTCCAGAATATCTCTTTTGAATTGACTTTGTGAAGATTCCATACCTCTTTACGAATTTATATTTTTGTCTTATAAGAGCAGATTTTTATATTTTAATCTTGCACCCATGGGAGACGTGCAATGATTTCATGCCCTTTCAAAGAGAATGGAGTCCCCAAACACAGACTCTTGAATTGGAAGAAAGCAGGGTACAATATTACATTCTGCCTATCCCATTCTGAATAGACTTGTTTCAATTCCAAGTTTTCAATAAAATGCATTTATTGCCTTGAATGTTCTCTCTCTCTGTTTACGAAGTCGTGTGCATTTTTTCTTTTTAATTGATCCTGATCCATGTTTAGTTTAACAATGGCATATTCTTGATTTTTGTGGTCACAGGCATTTGGCAAGAGAGTGGAAAAAAGCAAGGGGAAGAGGAAGTTATTGTCTCCACTTGATGCAGCGACATTGATACAGTTGAACTTCAGGGCTTACCTTATTCGTAGGTCACAGGCTCTGCGTGCGCTTCGGGAACTGGCTATTGCCAAGACCAAGTTGAAGGAGATCAGGGCCTTGTTCAATAACTTCTCTTATCGTCGTCGCATTTCCCATGATGCAGAAGAGCGCCAAAAGTTCTCGGAGAAGATCATTGTGCTGCTTCTCACTGTTGATGCCATTGAGGTAGCATAGATTGACAACTTATTTGTTATT